AAAACATTGTTGCAAATATCACCCTATAGAGGAAGAAATAGACATATATGAAAAACAATGTAATATAAATAAAACCACCTCAAATACCAGGAGGACCTTTTTCAAAGTCCAAAAGTTGTGTGTTTGGGAAAGGAGTGGATAACAAGGACTGATATCTTCCGAAGTTAAGTGTTTACGTAATTTGACTTTAAAAACTGCTAAGTTGCCTTTTTGGCCTCCTCTGGTTATTCAAGATTATGTATGTCGGGGAGTGGTAAGAAGGTTAACGGCTTTTATAACTGAGGACTAAGCGCACTTGGGCTAATTTTCTGCAGAGATTGCCTACATTCGTCACTTTGGACCCACTCGCGAGTTCAGACCGGGACAGTAATGATTTTCAGAACCCTTCTAGACAGCTGTCTCTTATCTGGTTTCTCGTCAGACAAACAATATATTTCTTGGACAGCCTTTTCCTTCCTTAACCTATTCACCGTAGACTTCGAATTCTTTCCTATCTTTTCCATTAATGAAACTATATTTCAGTCCTGCCGTTAATTCACCATATTTTTGATCGGAGTAAGAAGCTTTTCGAAGGAAACTAATTAGTCATAGATGTCCATTTCGCCAAAAACTTCCCATTAAAGATCGCGAACTGTTTTCCTGACGAATAAAAATTCGACAGCTCATCCTACGACATTCTCTCGGTAATCCCGTAGCAGACGCCGAATTGGAGGTCGTTGGGCCATTAAATACTTCTTGGAATTTTCACTATTCTGCCTCAGAACACTCTGATTTGGAGCACCGCTATTCTCGAAACTAGTAATGTTTTATTCTGGAACTCGGCCGTACCCATTAGACGCTATATGTTTTTAGTGTCTGCTATAGGTAAAACTGTTCAGCTTGGCTTTTCTGAGTGACATTCCTGCTATAAGCTGACTTGGCAGAACACATCAGATGCTACCTAATAGTTTAAAAAGTTGCAGGGTTACAAGTACGAAGTATTAGAAAAATAACACAGTAAATATGGCTTTGTTGGATAGGTTAAGCTATAATGAGCCGATATTTTGCGATTTCGTAAGGTTTTTCATAGACTGTTCCTGAAAAAAGCTGCTGGATGCAATGAGTCCTTTTTCGCTTAGCAACAGGCATGAAAAATAGTAACGATTAATAAAAGCATACAATTGAACCACAGTTAAGGAGTTTAATCCGTTCCAGCACCGAACTCGTCATGTGAAACGCCAATCTTGTGAAACGCAGCCAATCAATCTGCATCAGTTCACTGATTGGCTGCAGGTGACCGAGGACCCACGCCCTGTATGCAAGACTGAACGGTAGACACGGGCACGCACAAACACATGCACTGAGAACTCGTTAGTTTAGTGGAAGTTTGCCAATCAAATAATTTGCACACAAAGGGCTCGCTCGTTACCTGAAATGCTCGTAGATGGAGCTGCTGGTCACCCAAAGCTCCACGGATGAAAATATTTCATCGTTATAACCTAAATATATTGCGTAATCGGAAAGCTTAGAAAAACTCATGCGCGCAAGAGGTCGCTAACTGTCAACTCGTGCAAGGTCGACAACAATTAACAGTCAGTGAGACAAGTTACTAGGACCACCTTTACCTTAGCTTTACAGCGCTGAGCACGCAGTAGTTTCAGACATATCACGATGCCCTTTCACCTCAAAGTTACCAATGGAGGACCGAAGAGAGACGCGTCGACCCTAGCTCGTTTATAGCGCACTTGACACTCCCTCGGGAGATCAGAGGACTAACTGTGATAGAAGCGAAGAGACGAGGCCAGGAAGTAAGGAATTCAGTAGATGGAACTGCGATTGCCGGAACATGGTCTTTATTGGCCTGAGGCTTCGTATTCTCACTCAGACGCATCGTTAGAGACAGTCGCATATGAGGGTGCCGCGAGTGCAGTGTTTATAGAACACGTTTTTCATGTAATTATTCGTCTCATCCATTTAGCAGATCCCACATTCATTGCTGTTGTTTGTATATCATCCATATCTGCGAGGGAGAATCCGTAACATCAGACCAATAAACACTGGGTTCTTCTTCGTATTCTTCTTTTTCTCCTTCTTCAGGGCAGACTCTGTTGATGATGCAAGTTTTTCTGACGAGCTGATTTTTCCCCGAGCAAAGAACTGGTACTTATCAGAATTACGATCTACAACAAGTACCATCAGAATTGTCTTCTGTACTTCAGAATTTGTAATGGAATGTGGGTATGTCTATCAGCACACAAACCTTGAATGCGCATGATAGTACACGTTTCCGACCGTTAGTGCTTTTTCTCGTACTAAAATCGCTGTGCACCGATCGAGTAAACTTTGTGCATCAAATTTATTTCAGGTAGATGCTGGCCCCGTCAAGAAAATGTTTCCTTGACGTTCACAAAGTGCTGAAGGCCGATAAGAAGTAAGGTGTAGCACCGGCGACATTTAGAATTTCGTTTACTACGTGTGGGCTACTGTTAGAGTAAACAATAAAGTAAGTGAGCGCGACTGCAGTCTCTGCCTATACCTGTGCTTTATACGCCTACGACTTAAGCGAACACGAAAATCCTGATATAAGTTTGGTTGTAGCGTG